AGAGAGAGAGAGAGAGATCTTAACAAGTGTCGTTGGCAAATACTGTAGGTGCTGGTGCAAATTATCAAGAAAATGATATGAGTAGTAGCATGTCACAAGGTGATGATGACTATTACGATGACGCCAATGATCTGGATCAGCAATACGATGACGCTAGTGACTTGCAAAGCGACGGTGGTCTCTATCAAGAGCAAACAGATTACCATCAAGAAGAATACTTGGATGATTACGGACTGGATATACCTCAAATTGATATTGATGAAACTGAAGCTGAAACGGATAGCACAGAGGGTACTTGCTAAAAAAAAAAAAAAAAGCAAATCAAAAACATACACATATCGCACAGCGTGAGCTTACTTTTTTTTTTCAGCTGGTCCAACAGATGCTGACGATAGGCGAGATGGCGCTGTGCTTGACTTCTTGGCAATTTGTGTCTTGACGCTTTACTCTAACGCTCTGACCCGCAGAGTCGCAGAACTGATCTTACTCATATTGAATACAGCAATCATGTCCCTCGGTCACCAGGGTCAGCTCCCGGTTACAGTGAGTACCTTGAGTAGTCGTTATGAACCGACAGACGACGTTCTATTTAATTCAGCAAAAGCAGCAGTTAGCTGTTCGAAATGTCATTACGTGGATTATCGTGCCAGCCCACCTACCCACTGCCCTTACACAATGTTTCCAAATCATCCATTTGCCCCCCAGCGAGCCCCATGCGGTCATCCCTTGTTCAAGATCAATCCAGTTTCCAAAAAGCAGTACGCCATCAAAGCCTTCGCTCATCAGGATATTGCCAAAGTCTTGGACGTTTTTTTTTCTCGACCAGGGTTCATCGACAGTATTAACCACTGGAGAAATCGAGCCAGCACACCTGAAGGCACCATGTGCGATATCTACGACGGCAAAATGTGGACCGAGCTCATGGATAATCAAGACCCCCCTGCACCATTCACCGACAATCACTACTCTTTGATGCTTACCCTCAACGTGGACTGGTTCCAAGCCTTCACGTCTGCCGGCAGCCATTCATCTGGAGCTATGTATCTTGTCATTAACAACCTGCCTAGGGAAGAACGATTTAAATTAGAAAATGTCATCTTGTTTGGTATGATCCCGGGCCCAAAGGAGCCCTCTACCAGCCAGATGAACCACTATTTACGGCCATTGGTGGATCAACTTGAACATTTGTATGATGGCGTTATGTTGGAGACATCAGGCGTTGCTATCAGGGCTGCCTTACTGAATGTCGTTTGCGATATTCCTGCCGCTAGGAAAGTTGGAGGTTTCCTCGGTCATTCGGCTGCATTTGCCTGCATGTATTGTGCGAAAAAATTCGAGCAAAACGAAACAAGTCAATCAAGGAACATGTCCGATTTTGAAGTGGAAGCATGGCCAAGAAAATGCAAGATGGAGATCAGACAAGCTGCGAAGAAATGGTCAGAAGCCACAGTCAAGGCTGAACAAGCGGTCATCGAAGAAGAATTTGGTGTGCGTTGGAGCGAATTATACAGGCTCACCTATTTTGATCCATTGCGTCAAATCGTTGTGGATCCTATGCACAACTTGTTCCTTGGTACAGCAAAAAAAATCACCCGAGATACGTGGTCGCAGCAAACCACTGATGGCATCACAGGTGTAAAAAAGCCAGCACTGCTCTCCGCCAAAATTTTGGACCAAATGGAACGAGACTTGTATTCATTGTTAGTGCCGCCAACCATGCGCTTGTCACGGCGCAAGATCGCAAGTGGTTTCGCTCAGTTGACTGCTGATGACTGGCGCAAATGGACGCTCGGAATTTCACAATGTCTAATTCATGGTCGTGGACTTGGTGCATCAAGAGTAGTCAATTGGATGATGTTTGTCGACGCCTGTCGTCTGATTGTAAAACCAACTGTAACTATCAACGAAGCTGAAGAAGCCCACATGGCAAGTCGTGGAGAAAAAAAAAAAAAAAGGTTGGTAAAAAGCGTCATTCTCACTTTTTTTTTATGGTACCTTGCAGTTGTTCAAAGAATTTGGCAAAAGCAGTGTTACTGAATATGGGAGCACTATCGCGACCATCAACATGCACTTGCACTGCCACCTTTTAGACAACATAAAGGACTTTGGACCAATCTATGCCTTTTGGTGCTTTGGTTTTGAAAGGTACAATGGCCGTATCAAGAAGATCACCACCAACAACAAAGATTGTTTTGAGTTGACATATATGGCACGATTCAATCAGCAAGTCCATCGTCGTGATTACGTGCAGCGGTTACCAAGTAGCAATTATTGGCCAGCTGCCTTTCACACGGTTCTTAATAAGCTTGCCGGTGATGGTGCAAAGCGTACAGCAGCATTCAATCAAAAAGCGCAAGACTGGGTTAGCCTTGTTCAACTGGCCGACACACCATGGTCATCCACTGGCGCCGAAGATCTTGGCCAGCACTACCTCGCTTTGCACAAAGCCAACCGGCCATCGAAGCTATCAGATGATTGCTACAACTGCCTACTTTCTTTTTACCAAAGTACTTACCCTGGCCATGGGTTCCATTCCGTCAGCACCTATGCTGAAATTGTAACTTCAGTAAGCATGTTTGGCTGCCTTTACAACTCATTAGCGACAAACAGAACTCACCAAGGCTCATTCATCGCTGTCAAGCACCTTGACACAAATGGAAATACGTTCGATCGGCCAGGCCAAGTGGTGTTTTTCTTGGAGCATCAGCTTATCTTGCAAGGCGCCATCAAAACCCATCTGCTTGCCTTTGTAAGTTGGTTTAGACGGGCCCCATACCAGACAGCAGCGACATCGTTTGACGAGGTCCATTTGGACCTTTGGCAGTATAAGAGCGGCATCCGCGATGGATTTTCTATCGTTCCCATTGTGGGCATCCATGGACATGTGCTGGTGCAAGATCTTCCTTTCGATAGCTGTAGTGCTGTGTTTACTTGCTCTCGTCAACTCCATACTTGACCTGTCCTGTTATAAAGAATTGAGCTCCACAATGTCTTTTAAGCTTATGTCATATAATTCATACCAAGTTGGTAAACATCGATTTTATTTTGCGATTAGGGACTACTGTTGTTGTCAAACAATCGGCTAATGAGAGTAGTTTTGACGCTTTAAAAAAAAAAAAGAGAAGAAAAAAAAAAAAAAAGAGGAAAAAAAAACAACAACAAACAAACAAACAATAAACAAAAAAAAAATGGCGTGACTGAGAAAGACGCCCTTCTCCTCCTTTTATTCGAAAGTGGGGGGAAACGAAAAGCGTTCAGGCCCGCGGAAGTCGGGAAAGGGGTTGGTTGTGTCTGGGTCCACAATCATCCACTCAGCGTATGGATCATTGTCACGGCTTGGCCATGGCTCACGGGATTCTTCTTTGATAGTGGCCATTGGATCGGCCACCATAACCCCGGAGTCAATGAGCCTCAAAAGGTCATTGAACTGGAAAATGAAGGTATTAATTAAAAAACTATTTTCGAGGGAGTGTACTTACCGCCTTGGTGCGCCAGACAGGTCTGACAAGGACATCCCCATCTTCTTCGTCGGACATGGCTTCTGGTTGCATGCCTCGTTGCATCTGGATCAATGCATTTTCAGCAGCTTCAGCATCCATGGTAATCTCATGAGATCTGCCAAAGTAGTAACGGACGATCTTCGCACCTCTCTTCTTGAGGATCTCGACACGTTTTTTGGCCTTCTATTAAATTTTCAAAGAAAGGTTGATTTTTTTTTTTTTTTTTTGACGTTTTTTTTTTTTACTTTGCTTCGGCGTCTGTTCTTGGCAGCATTGGGGGTCGGCGACTTGGCGGCTTTTGAACGGCTCAGGTACCTCTTTTTTCTGTCCAGCATCCTCATAATCACTGGCTTGTGAATATCGGACGTCAGGTTCAGAGAGGCCCTCACCATTTTCCAAACCTCATCTTTCACGATCAAGTTCACGCCTTGGTTGACTGGCAAGCCAACTGACCAAGCTACATCTTTCGCAGCATGTCGAAGTGCATCATTCAAGCATTGCTAAAAAAAAAAAAACAGCAACGTGTGTTACTTGATATAAGTGCGCTTTTTTTTTTCCCGACTTACATGAATGAACTTATGGTCAGGGAGCTGTTCCGTTGCCACTTCTGCAGAACGTCGCTCTGTCATGGCTTCTTGTACTTTTTGGTCGATGCTGAGGGCTGTGCGGTTCCTCTCTGCCGCAGTGGCTTTCATTACAGCCTCCTGTATTAAGAGGGCACAAGTTTCCTTGGTAACGAACCTGGAATCTGACACGCCAGTGTCTTGACCATTCATAGCATGGGATGTAGCAGCGGGGGCAGGAGATGGCACGGGTGGGGTAGTAGAGGGGGAAGGAAGTTGTTCCCGGGAAGGGGTAGCGAAAGGGACAGCAGTCGTCACTCGCTGACGATGGCGTTGTTGTTGTTTGTCATAAGGAGTCATTTTGGTGAGCAAAGTGTTATTATTTTTTGTTTAGATTACTTTGTAAGTGGTCCTAATTTATAAGAAAAAAATAAATTCCGCTTAAACAAAACAATGGCATGGATATGGAAAAAAAAACATTGAAAAAAATAGTCTTTTGGCAATAGCTTGCTAGAGTTTAGAAAAAAGAACACCACTTTACCACAAAAGTTGCTGTATTTGGTAATGCTAAAAAAAATCAGTGAAGGTTTTAACAAGGCTTCGCCTGGGGATGGTGAAGTGTTGACAAAAAAAAAAAAAACGCAAAGATTTTGCGCTGTCAAACAACGCTACTTTTTTGGTCATTGGTAATTTTTTTTTTCTGTGAACATTTTGTCAAGGTTTCGCTAAGAGGGGGTAGAAAGTTGGTAAAGAGTTGACGAAAAAAATAAAAAAGTGAAGGTTTTAACAACGTTTCGCCAGGTCTTGGTAAAAAGTTAGCAAACCATTAGCGAATTACCGCCATGGTAACACATTAGCAAATTTGGCATTTCCCGCTGTGGATCAAATTTTCACTAAATTCAGGACAAATTATTTCCTAATATGGATTTTTAACGAGGACTCGTTGGCCTAATGGATAAGGCGTCAGACTTCGGATCTGAAGATTGTGGGTTCGAGTCCCATACGAGTCGATTTTTTTGTTTTTGGGGAGGGCGGGGATGGAAAAAGGGGGTTATTTTGGGTGGGGGCGGGGGTTGATTTTGGGGGTGGTGGGTTTATTTTTATGGGGTAGGGGAATACTAATGGTGGCTGGTCGGGATGCAAAGGTGGGAGGGCTTGGGTGGTTGATGGTGTGGAGAGAGGAAGCAGAAGGAGGTGTTGCTGGTGTTTAGGGAGATGGGGAGGGAGTCGAAGAGAGTTGGGAAGAATGCGTTGGCGACCAGGGATGCGGAATGAGGAAGAGAAGGCGGAGGTTGTTTTAGATGGCTGGGATGGTAGAGGGATAAGCAAGGGGGGGGGGATTTCGTGCTGGTATTTCGCTCCGTGCGTACGCGAGAGACGTTTGGGAAGAAGTGCACGGCTTTGCAATGGAGTGTTGAGTCGTGTTTAAGAGCCCAGTTTTTTTTTTCAGAGGACCATTCTCCGTTGATTGTGCGGTCGTGCTTTGCATGAGGTAAGTGCAATGTGGTGCTGGTTGGGTGGCATTGCAATTGAGGAGAGGAATGTATGGGATAGATGGCAAGAGCAATGAATGAAAAAAAATGTGGAAGAAGGAAAACAAGGTGATTGCAACAGAGAGTGAGCAAGTGGGGTCGTGCGCTAGACATTGCAGCAGCGAACAAAAAAAGGCAAAAAAGACGTCGGGAAGGGACGGCGACAAAGGGTTGGTGATGCTTTCAGGCAACGCAACATCCGGGCCATGCACAAACGAAGTGCACAGGGATTGACGCACCGGCGAGGGAAGGTTGGCTTGCGGCTAGCAAAAAGGAGCAGCAGTGGAGTGGAGAGGTGCTGGGCAAGCGAGGAAGAAGGGTGCTGAGATTAAATGAGCCAAAAATGAGATAGTTGAAGTGGGGGTGCAGCATGGCGAGATGAGCGGAAGGCATGGTAGGCTGGAAGCTCACGCTGGACGGATACGAGCTCAAAAGGAAGGCTGTCTTCCAGCAAGAGGGGAAGCACGCTTCCTGGGCAAGGGACATGTTAGAAAAAAAGGTATCACTGATTTACTGGCACATCCTTGCGGTTCGTCTCCGTAGACCGGTAAAATGGCAACCTCTATTACTTTCTCCTGATCGATTTTCAGAATGCAATGCTGTTTTTCTCAGTCTGACTCATGATTAGCAAAGTCGGTGGAACCGTTTTTCACACGACAATGTACTCCTTGACGGAAACAGGAAGCGGGGCCAAGTTGGATTGGCGAGTGGCATAGGAGGAATGTGGAGCTAAAGACCTGCGGCTGGTTCCAAAAGTAGGTAAGAGGGTGTGTGAGACGATGGCCGAGCGCACGTAAGCTGTGTCGAAGGCAAAAGGTGGCCAGAAGGGACTGGATGGTGATGGGAGTGCAGCATGAAATAGGTTGTAGTTTACTACGGTTGCATTCAGATGCCAAGAACAAAAGGGTAATGCAGTCATTCGATAGGACAAGCAGACGGGAAAAAAAAAAAAAAAAAAAAAAAGTGGAAAAGGGACAGTTTCCATATATGGGATGCGCGCTGGACTGGACGTGAAAGCTGGAAGAAAAAGCGGATGTTCTCGGAAAAAACCTTGGCGCTCTAAGGAATTCACGGATACGGAAGTTACACTGGGCTAAGAATCTACCAATAAAATGACGCTGCTCTTTTTGGTTATTTCTGCTTTCATCACCTCTACAAGACTGGCTTTGGTTATCCTCACCTCAACCCGGATTCTTCTTCTTTCGGAAGCTGGAATTACACGTTGTGTTAACGAAGAATTATCAAGATTCTTACAAAGCAGCCATTCCCATTCCATCTATTCCATCAGGACAAAATTCATAAAATTGGAAACACGCCCTCTTCCTTTTTTTTTTTTTTTTTTTTTTTTTTTTACTTTTCTTTACTTCCCTCTCCTCTCAACCTTTTATTCACTCACGTTTCCAGCAACTCAACCCAGCCATCATGACATCCACTATGCAACACTGCAATTCAGAGTGATATAATATAGATGGAAACAACATCATTGAATCACATGTGTAAGGTGTTGCGTGTGCCATCCCTCCAGGTTCGAGGCGTATGGTTTGCCCTTCTGTGTCTGCGACTTTCCTCCAAGAAGCCGTCAACGTCACGCGCCATTGCATCATCGAATCGTGAGACTTGTTCGGTTGGCGAATATTCCCGTACCTGCCCTGACATTCAAGACAGCCAGCTGTACATGTATCTCACCCTTTTCCAAGTCTTTCGGCAATATCGACTCTTCCTTTGCATCCCTCGTTTGGAAAAGCTGTTGGTAAGAGCCACTTTTTTTTTATGAGAGGACGCTGCTGATTATCTTTCCCCTGTTTTTAGTTTGTCGCCTTGGGGACAGGGGAAAGTGTGATGAACGTTCTGGTGTTTCTTCTGTTATCCACAGCCTTATTTGCTCCTATATTCATGTTGCGCAATACCGTCAAAGTAGATTTGCTCATCGTTGTCAAGTTGATTGAGCTGATCTCGTCTATGGCTGTTACGAAGAATCTGCTGGCGATGCTGCGTTATTTCTTCGTCGATTTGGTGCAGGCGATGTGTGAACGCCTCACGCTCTTGAGCCAATACTTGCTCCAATGCACGAACTGCTCTCTCTTGCTGGCGCTGTTGGCATCTTCTCCTGGAATCGCGCATGGAAACTTCAAGACGCTCCACCATTTCCTCGTCTATCGGTTGCCTTGGTTGAACACGTCGGCGCTGTTGTCTCGTAGGCTGCACTGTCGTATCTTCACTAACATCATCACTATCATGGATCTCAATGATGGTAGTAGTTTGACCGTTCTCTGGGGAGGGTGACCGAGGACGGCGATGGGGTAGGAGGATGGTGGGAGGCGGTCGACTGCCTGGGGGAGAGTGCTGGTAGGATGGTGCAATTGTTGGTAAGCGCTGCGGCGTGGCGGGATGGAGAGGACATCATCATCAGCGACACCGGAAGGTGGCAACAAAGGTTGTTGTGGTGGCGCGGTGGGTGATGGAAGAGTTGGAAGGGAGGGAAGAGAAGTCAGCTGGTGGGGTTCTTGGGCGTGATGTTGCAAGGTGTACAGCTGGGTTCACGAAGATGTATGGGTGGATTGTCGCCATTTGCTCAAATCGAGGAGCATCATCATGCTATTTAAAAATAAAAAGACATTTTTTTTTTTTGGGGGGGGGGCTGGACAGCCTGACGCACCAATGTCCGGAGTTTTTTTTACAAACGGAGCTCTACCGCGTTTTGCACATACGACACGTCTCATTTTTTATATACAATAAGCCTATTAAATACAGAAAGCTATCATATGCCCAGATACAATGTCATGTCGATGAGATATGCAGTTTAAAAAAAATGTCCATTGGGACAGTTTCCTGGCTTAGGTGACTTTTTCTTAAAAAAGCGGCTTTCGCCTTTTTTTTTTTTTACTCCTTCACCCCTTTATTCTCTTTTTTTTTGTTTTCAAGGTAATCTAATGTGTCAATCGCATCAATGTTGCGTTAATGCTCATAATTAATCTAATCTTTTCCTAGTAACCATAAAGTCGATCAGCATCCAAAAAAACCAAAGGCGTCGAGTCCCTTTTGCGCCAAACGGACAAGAAACACACCGTGCGGTCTATTGCCAAGCGTCAAAACTCGACTGTGCAGCGCCTTGCCAACACCATTGCAATTGAATCGTCAAAAAAAGACGGCCATCCTCCCAAGATTATGGAACTGCTCGTTTTCTCTTCCGAAAAGTGGAAACGGGCAAATACACGACTGCAACTGCTGCCAAGATCTTGTGGCCACTTTCTCTTCCATAAAAAAAAAAAAGACATGTAACTGCACCGATGACTGACATGGCCATCTTGCTACTGGCCCATTTTTTTTAGATCGATTGCTCTTTTGCCACACCTTGGGCGTCAGGGTCCCCCCTGCCTACTGAAGTACTTGGTGCTTAATGAAGTGATCGGGTTTGAACGCAGACAGAAGCTGAAGCCCGGGTGGTTCGTTCAGAACGACGAGGTGGCAGCTCCCAAAGGTGGTGGCACGGCAAAGAACACGTCATCCATGGTAAATGACTTCAAGCTTGGCGAGAAGCTGGCGAACGATTGGGATTGTTTTTAAATCAGCCTATTAGAAATCTGCAAGAGCTACTCCCCTGGATCAAAGCACTGAGCATCACTACAAGAGTCTCTCCTGCTACTACGTTGCCGTAAGAAAACATTGAAAGAGGTTGATGTCTAGTATAGCCTGCACGTTAATAAATAAACGAGGGTAGAAAGAATGGTGCTGAAAAAACCGGGTCGATGGATGAGGATCGTTCAGCCAGCTTCAGCGCTTTCATTTTGAAAAATGGGCCATTCTCACCAGGACCCCAGGCATCCTGTAAGAGTGACAAGGTTGGTTGCCCATGTTTAGTGCGATAAGAAGAAGTTGAAGCTGGCCGGCCAAGTTCCATTTTTTTTTTTGAATAATGGTGGCGCTGAAATTAACCATTTTGGAACGCCCTGCCACTTTCGCCAGGGAACCCCCCAGGCAACCTGCAAAAAAAAAAAAAAGGTCATCCCACGTTTTGAATGTCAGTAAAAAATCAGGTGAAATGGGTAGGTCGACACAATACTGCAGAACCTGGGAAGATCATCACGGGATTGGTTTTGATCAACAAAAGGCACGCGTTTTTTTTGACGTATTTTTGTTTGATGGGCAAACTCACCACCTGGTCTCTCCTCCATCGCATTGTACCACAGCGGAAAAAATCAGCGGGTTTTGAGGGAAATGTGCGGTTTTTTTCAAGCTGGCGGGTCCCGCAGTACGTCAGCTAAAATGCGGGTTTCACAGCACAGAATGCTAGGACTCCATCGGTCGAGGCTAACAAAAAACCTGCACAAAAACCCGCAAATTACCCACTTTTAGCAGGGGGAACCCGCAAAAATCCAAGAAATAAAAAATCAAACCCGCAAAAACCCAAGCAAACCTGAAATTGTAGCTTATATAAATATAAATAGACACCAGTATTACTCAATCTGTAGATAATGTGT